GGTCATCCTTACAATGCTAGGCACAAAGTATATACTTATATAACTTAAAACTTTTATATAAAAATAACCAAAAATAAGATGAAACAAGTTTTTTTAGAAAACATGTTCTTTTTGTAGGTTAAATAAGGGTTCTTTGTACACTCTCCCTTTCAGTAAACACAATATATTTGTTAAATTTACTATTCATCCATTTAGTCATTCCTTCCTTTCTTCTTTTCCTTTAAATGATTCATTAATTCTTTATTTTTTCATTCATCCTTCTTTCCCTGGGGCACAGCTAGAGAGAATATGAGCCGTGTTCACGAAAAAATGGAAAGGGGGGTATTATTATAGACGTCGAATAGAATTCGATATCTATCGCTTCCAATTTTACTTCTATCTCTTGCGTCTATATTCTATGACGAGAAAAAGTTTTAAAACGTGTAACAAACAAGAACGTATAGTGTTAAAGTTGCGTTTTCCACCCGGATCGTAAATACGATTCAATTAAAAAAACTACTCATTCAGATATTATATAACCTACAATTCGAATCATCCTTACATAGCTGATATTTTATAAAGTTTTTTAAATTTTTTTTTCAAATTGATATTTCGCTTGCAACCTGTTTTCACGGCTGGCGCTGGATTTTCGAACATTCCTTGAAAATATTATCAAAAATCCTGAGAACAGGAATGAATGCTTGCAAAAATAACACACCGATCATTGCAAATATAAAACATTATGAAATATTAACTATATACGATTACGAATAGATCGAATTGAATTCGACAATGTTATAATAGCTGAATTCGAGTAGTTTTAAATTTAATTTAATTATTTACAATCTGATTGGAAAAATGCAACTACCTGAGTTTAGATGGACGCTAAGGGGGTAGGAATAGCTTGTTAGAAAGTTAGGAAAGCGATGAAGATAGCTGTCTAGAAAATTAGCTAAAAGGGGTAGAAATAGCTGGCTAGAATATTAGCTAAAAGGGGTAGAAATAGCTGGCTAGAAAATTAACTAAAAGGGGTAGAAATAGCTGGCTAGAATATTAGCTAAAAGGGGTAGTAATAGCTGGCTAGAAAATTAACTAAAAGGGGTAGAAATAGCTGGCTAGAATATTAGCTAAAAGGGGTAGAAATAGCTGGCTAGAATATTAGCTAAAAGGGGTAGAAATAGCTGGCTAGAATATTAGCTAAAAGGGGTAGTAATAGCTGGCTAGACAATTAGCTAAAAGAGGTAAAAAAACTGGCTAGAATATTAGCTAAAAGGGCTACAAAATAGCTGGCTAAAAAATTAGCTAAAGGGGTAAAATGACTAGCTAGAAAATTAACTAAAAGGGCTACAAAATAGCTGGCTAAAAAATTAGCTAAAGGGGTAAAATGACTAGCTAGAAAGTTAGCTGAAAGTGGAGGAAATAAATGGTTGAAAAGATAGAAACCCATTTTAAACTGAAAAGAATATGAGAAAGAGTTCGAAAGAGCATAAATTATACAGAATCAAACTGAATTCCAAACTTGTATAATCTCAGTTTATCAATCATCCAAAAATACATTTATCATTCACCCTTTCTTTCTTTCAGAGTCGGAGAAAAGTACATGTAAGCTACAGACAATCTCACATATAAGAATACATAACAAGAGTGCATGAAATGTCGTCTTGAAATATATTAAAAAATTATGACAGCTGAGATGGAATTTAAAGAATTTGAGCCGCGGTTTAAATCCGCCAAAACCCGGTTTAAATCAAGCGCCGGCTTAAATCTTGAAACATTTAATACAATTTTAAGTGGAACCAACCATATTTAAACCGCGGCTTAAATTTAAACCGCCGCTAAAATTCTTTGAATTCGGCCACTGGTGTGATTTATGATTGGTCTGCACAGAAAGAAAGCTGCTGAGATGTTTGCAGCTTTATAGGTTAGTGTACAATGTATGAAAATATATCCAAATATTATTCTAGAACTTCATAAATTTTTTGATTATTTCTAAGAAAATATTTTTTTATTTTTAATTGAAGGTAAATTAATAGCCATGAAATATGCAGGACTGCAATTGATATATTAAACTCGTCTTTCCGCGACATTTCATTTTAAATATGTGAAGAATACGATATTATAAAATACCCTTGCTATTTATTCATCAATCTGGGATTCACTGTAGGAAGAAAATTGGAGAACAAGAAGTGTATAGTGCAGAAAATAGTATAAATAAGAACTATGACAGAGTGTGTGCAGAAAATAGTGTAAAACAAGAACTATGACGGGGTGTGTGCAGAATATAGTGTAAAGCAAGAACTATGACCGAGTGTGTGCAGAATATAGTGTAAAACACGAACTATGACGGGGTGTGTGCAGAATATAGTGTAAAGCAAGAACTATGACCGAGTGTGTGGAGAATATAGTGTAAAACACGAACTATGACAGGGTGTGTGCAGAATATAGTGTAAAACAAGAACTATGACCGGGTGTGTGCAGAATATAGTGTAAAACAAGAACTATGACAGGGTGTGTGCAGAAAATAGTGTAAAACAAGAACTATGACAAGGTGTGTGCAGAATATAGTGTAAAACAAGAACTATGACAGGGTGAATGTAGAAAATAGTGTAAAACTAGAACTATGACAGGGTGAGTGCAGATTAGTGAGCAAGCACCCTGTTTAATTGCTGCAACCATCATCTTTTTTAATTTATAAATATTTTTAAACATTTAAATTATCATAATATTGAATTTTCTGAGAGCAAGAAATCACGAATATTTTGTTTAAGAACCAAATAAATAAATTATTCAATATCCCTTAAATTTTGTTCAAGTTTCCAATGGTAATTTTCAATTACATTTGGCAAATATTCTGAACAAAAAAGATGCCTTTATAAGGGCATTTGCTAATTTAGTGTCAAATGTTTGGATCATTACTGCTTTAGAAATTTTTCTTTAGAGCTTTTCTAGAGTCCTTACCATCGAAATTTTCAAAACTGGGCTGCAGGCTTTTAAGAAATTAGCCTACGAAAATGGATTTCACTTTTACTCTAGAGTCTAGGGACTTGTTTCATGGTTAAAGCTTCTGACAATGCATTAAAATACCCCCCCCCCTGTTTCCCAGCCCCATCCCCCCTTAACCGTTTTATTTTTTACAGAGACATGGAACTCCCTGGATGCCATAAATTGTGATCTGTAAACATTTGTAAACATTAAAAAAATCATCGATTTGGAAAATTATTAATCACACAACCTCGTTGGTCTGGTATGCTACCGAGGCTGTCCCTTGTATTATGTTCCCCCGGGGAGATGACGAGTAGAACCCGCGTCCGGGGGACTTATCGAGCTCTAGTTGCACTCCACACACTTCAGAAGTTCAGTTACTCGTACACTTGATTACTGTGTACAGTGCACTGCCATAGTGAATCCATTGTGAATAAAAACATAAAACACTTCTTACAAACTCTGATTTTCAAATCCGTATATCTTTGCAACCTCCAATATTTTCAACTGTGAATTCTAATAGATCAATTAGTTGTGGTAATGAAAAGGTTTAAACCATATAGGTTGCAAATGTAAAGACAATCAAAGTGTAGTGCGATTAATTAGTTTCTTTGTAGACAATTAGATAATTGCTGATATATCGTTATATTTCTCCATCTTTCTTAGTCTCATCTTTATCTATTCTTGTCTGATCTCTATCTATTCTTGTCTGATCTCCGTCTACTCATGTCTAATCTCTATCTATTCTAGTCTGATCTCTGTCTACTCTTGTCTAATCTCTATCTATTCTTGTTTGATATATATCTATTTTTGTCTGATCTCTATCTATTCTTATCTAATCTCTATCTTTTCTTGTCTGATCTCTATCTAGTCTAGTCTGATCTCCGTCTACTCTTATCTAATCTCTATCTATTCTTGTCTGATCTCTATCTATTATTGTCTGATCTCTTTCTATTCTTGTCTGATCTCCGTCTACTCTTGTCTAATCTCCATCTACTCTTGTCTCATCTCCGGCTACTCTTGTCTCATCTCCGTCTACTTTGTCTCATCTCCTTCTACTCTTGTCTAATCTCCGTCTACTCTTGTCTGATCTCCGGCTACTCTTGTCTGATCTCCGTCTACTCTTGTCTGATCTCCGCCTACTCTTGTCTGATCTCTATCTATTCTTGTCTGATATCCGTCTACTCGTGTCTGATATCTGCTTACTCTTGTCTAATCTCTATCTATTCTTGTCTGATCTCCGGCTACTCTTGTCTGATCTCCGTCTACTTTTGTCTGATCTCCGTCTACTCTTGTCTAATCTCCATCTACTCTTGTCTCATCTCCGGCTACTCTTGTCTCATCTCCGTCTACTTTGTCTCATCTCCTTCTACTCTTGTCTAATCTCCGTCTACTCTTGTCTGATCTCCGGCTACTCTTGTCTGATCTCCGTCTACTCTTGTCTGATCTCCGCCTACTCTTGTCTGATCTCTATCTATTCTTGTCTGATATCCGTCTACTCGTGTCTGATATCTGCTTACTCTTGACTGATCTCTATCTATTCTTGTCTGATCTCCGTCTACTCTTGTCTGATCTCCGCCTACTCTTGTCTGATCTCCGTCTATTCTTGTCTGATCTCTATATATTTCATTTGATCTTTATATTTTCTTGTTTTGTCTTATTGTATTCCTCTTTAATTCTCATTTATTATTGTCTATCATTGATATACTCAGATCCTAATCTCTATTTGCATATTTCATGATAAATTGTAAATATGTGAAACTCTTTTATACAATAATATAAAGCTATAAAAAGTTTTCAAATGAGTTTCTCTTTTTGTTTTTCTAATTTACTAAGTTTTAGTGAAACTAAATTAAAAAGTTTTAAAATCAAATTGTCCGATTAAAGTCAGGAAGAGGTTATACACTGAATCCAGACTGGAGATTAAAACTTTAAATCTGGATATTGAAGTTTTAATCATGAATCATGAAAGCTCATTATTTCTGGATGCATTGAACCAGGATTAATACCAAGATGAATCTTTGCCTTTTTTCAGAAAGATAATCGAGCGTGTTCCATTTCACATCGGAAAAAGATTTCTAAGTTTCCAAAGTTATGGAAAACATTTGAGGAAGTTAAAAATGCGTGAATTTTTCCTGCTCTTATTTGTTTTCAGCGAGTGTATTTGCATTCGACTTCAAACTACAACAGCATCAGGTATATTAAGTTATAAAAAGGGTTTTTAGGAAAGGTTTCCACCGAAAGCAAGTTTTCGCGCAATTCCCAGCCAATTTGATCGCGAATTCCGTAAAAAAATAATTTAGCGGAAGCAAGTTACGCAAAAAAATCGACCCAATTTCAAGAAAAATGCGGAATTTTCCTTGCGAACGTAATGAGCGCAAAATATGAGGAAATTTGTCTTCCGTGAGGAAGCGCAAAAAAATGCGACAGAATTGAAATTTTCGTGCAAAAAGTTAATTAAGCGTGTTATTTTTGTTATGTTGGAACCCCTTCACCAGGTTCGGACTCGTTTTTTTCTTGGTCTTTCCTGAATCGCCTAACGTAAAATCCCGATAAACTCATGACGTTTTATTAATATTGTATACTACTTGCAAATACACATATATCATGAAGTTTAATCCCTCCTTATTTGAAAAGTTTCATGTAAAGTCAAACAAATTTTAGCATGAGTCTGACATTTCTATATTTAGTTTAATATAAGAATTTAAACACTTTAAATTCTAATACATGGTTTAGTTTAACCAAATACTACATTCTCATTTTAACAAAAGATAGCAAATTGAACAAATTCTGCAAAGATATTTCTCCGACTTCTTAATACACATAACTGAAATAGAAAAGCTTTTTAAAAATGGTCAGTAATTTACCATCGGCAGGGCCACGGTCCACACAGAACAGAAAAAGAAGGTCAACTCTAGGCGATATTACCAATACGGCTTTGTGGCGTTGTTATATAGCTCATCTGTTTTGGTTTTACGCACAAGTATGATGAGCATATTAAAGTTATCCTCGTATATAAAATGAATTCCAAATATTTTTGTTCTTCTTATTAGCTCTTCAAGAAGGCGATTTAAATACATATAAGATTTCAATCCTTCGTTCAAATTACTTCAGTTTGAATTTTGGGGAGGGGGGTAATCTTGAACAATTCATTTTAATGGGTTTTAGGTGCCCCGGTATTTAGGACTTAGCGCTGGAGTTGGTGTTTTAGGATAAGTAAAGTTTCTTGGACATTTTTTTTTGTGAGAAAATGTCTATCTAATTTGATTTAAAAAAATATGTATAATCGTTACACCAATCTATTAAAAATTCAATTATGGTATCTTTAAAACCCATTCTTCACGGTTCTAATGGACTTTAAGCGTAATTTCTAGTGACCCTTCATGAAAGAAAGTAAAGCCTAATTCACAACGGTACCCTAAAAACCTTTGTCTGATCATGAATCATTAAATAAGGTGTTATAGTGATAATTATGAAAACTGATTATTTTAAATTATGGTCTCTACAAAATGGACTTGCAAATTTAGACTGCAGGAACTTAAAGGAAATCTTACAATAAAAAACTTTTAAACCTAGAAAAAGAACAATATTATTCACATTATAAGATCAGATAAAGTTTTGAAGGGCATTGTTGTGAATCGAAAATTTGCTCGGAGAGTTACTTGAAATTATACTTTTAGTCCCTGTAATGTTTTTTAAACCTTGAGAGTGGATTTTCTAAATTAAAGTTTTTAACCTTGCTTCTAATATTTGCAATATTTGCAATATATATATATAAGGGATTTAAGTTTTATTAGATTTCCCCTAATCGATGTTGATGACGCTTTATAATATAAAAGTAAATATTTGTGTTTGTCAAATTTTTATAATGGGTTTAGCGTTAACAAGACAAGTACAATGCACATACAATGCATGAGAGAAACAAGTTTAATAAAGTAAATTCTTAATGATTTACATAGATTTAAAAATTTACGTCTTTTATAGTTTGCAGGATTTTTATGCATTTCATAGAAAAGAATTGATAAAAATCTCTCCTGGCTGAAAGTAAAACTGATATAAATAACATCCTAGTGTGCATATTCATTTCATTCATTCTGAAAAAGATTTTTTCTTTATTTTTTCTTCTACCATATTCATGAAATTGTCTACTTTAGTTTATTCATACGCATCTATTTTATTTAGTTATTACATATTATCAAATCATAAAATTACATTTCAACTACTCTTATTCTGTTTTTTTTTGTGTGCATTCTGGATGCTGGCGTTATACACTAGAAGCACTCTGAGTTTAAAATATGTTATATTCTGTTAAGACAAGTGAAACACAAAATGCTAAGTTTTGAACAGGTTTAAGGTTGCATGCTGAGGAACCTTCGAAATATAAACATTGTAATAGTCATATCCAGACATTTTGCTATTTTCCACTTTGTTTGGTAAAAATTAGCAACAAACTTATCATAGAAAACTGCTGACAAGAGTACCTGGGGATAAACTAAACGTAAGACGGGAACAGATTCAAAAGATTTAAATCTTTGCCACAAACTCAATTTTTCTTATCCCTATATCTTTGCAACCTGATAGTGTAAACCTTTGATATTCTAAACTTACAATTTAATCTAAAACGAAATTTGGTTGCAAATATTTAGGGACATAAAAATTTGAATTTGTGGCAAAGATCTTAAATCCTTTCAAGACAGCCAGACCTGAGCACGTTATCATTTTTAAAATTAGTTTCTCTATGGAATTAACGAGATACGGGAGAATCCCGTCAAGAAACTCTTTTTTTATAAACAAAAACCTTTAATTTTTGGATCGTTAACGAACAAAAAAATCGTTCATAGAAAAAAATGAACTAAAAAATCACGAACAGATGTCTTTTTCAAAATAATAATGACTTTTGTTAAATTTTCTGCTTAGAATTGCATAGCAAATAGCAAATTTATCTCATGTGATATTTTTACATTAATTGACTCATGATATAGCTGGGATGTTTACATCTTCTAAAATATCCAAAGTTAACACTGTTAATATAATTTTATATGTTGTTTACGTACACCAACTCTAAGAAAGAACTGTGAAAATGGTTAGTTGAACAATACGTTCCGTTGAAAACAGTCTAAGCCTGACTAGCCCTAGCGTAATTTAAAGTGACTCCCAAGAAAAGAGAGGAATGCTTTGACAGATCATCGACGTTAGAGAATTTATGTGTTTGTTTATATCTTAGATTATTTAGAGGGGGGGGGGGGAAATGTTTTTTTTTTGCAGGAAAAGAAAAAGAAAGAAAAGCCTACAGCTTTCAACCCTGTAGTTGTATCATGCAATATAATTATTTCCAGCAAGTGCAGAATTTTTATAATATCATTTTGAAATTTGCATTTAAATAGAAGCGTGTCATAAAACAAGAAAATGTAATTTCATAAATTGTAAAAAAGTTATTTTCTTTAAAATTCTAAAGTAATTTTAGGTTTTCTATCTTTATCAGTTTACAATTACACGTTTTCATTCAGAAGAGAAAGAAAAGGCACACATTTCTTATTCTAGGTTTCATTAATCTCCATTGGGCTAAACACCATTGAAATTTCAGGCTTAGACTATTTGATCTAACAGAAAATTACCTAAAAATTTGAACTTGGATTGTTTTAAGAGACGTTTTGGTATTGATTCCTGGTAAGTGGAATAGAGCCCGTTTAAGGGTAGACTGCGCCATCTTTAAAGGATCTAATGAGACGGTCAAACTTTCCTTGTGATTTCAAGAGACCTTCTAAGGGTATACCCGTTAACCCTTAAACCCTATATCTGATTAATAATTCGAAAGATATCCTCGTTTCTTCTAATAAAGAAGCGTTTAATTCTGAAAACCTGTTTCTGCAGCAGAAATGCGCAAGTTTCTTTACAGAGACACTGAAATTGCAACTTTTATTGCAGAGATGATGGATAGCATATTCATTCAGACATTTTTTTGGGCACTGTTGTGAATCTACCATGTAACTCTGTCAGAGTTAGTTTATGATGTAATTTATACAATCTTTATTTTTTGTTTTGGTTAATTCATTCCATATTTAGAGATTTAATAATAATGTTTAATTCAAAAAATTTATATATGTTTCTAACAACATTTTAAGTCGAAGTATGAATTCTCAATAGTCCTTTACATTCTCTTGCTTGTGTTTAGTATTTGTTTGAGGATTACTTAAATCTTGTTCGTGGATTTTTCTTTGGAACGGAAGACGACATAGACTCCGATACAATATTACAATTGTCTTATTTTGTTTCAGCATTGTATACGGAGTATATAGCGGGGGTTGAAGGATACCCTGCCCTGCTACCCTGTGACGTCACTCCCCCACACCCTGACGAACTAGTGGCGCTTGTACTTTGGTACAGGGGGGATGAGGGAGAACCATTGTACAGCTATGATTCAAGACAGGTACATACATACATTACGATATCTTTACCTGATACACTTATTTTAAACTATACGGTACGTTAGTAAGCCGAGTAGGTTATAAAAAGTCTAAATACTTTATTTAAACCGGAATTAATTTTATCTTAACCTGCAATTAGTTATCTAAACCTTAAATAATTTATCAAACTTTAAATACGTTATTTAAACCTAAAAAATGTTATGTAAAACGGTAGTACGTTATTTAAATCTAAAGAATGTTATGTAAAACGGTATCTAAACCTGAAGTTCGTAATTTTAATCTTATAGGTTGATTTTCTAAATCTCAACTACATTTTCTAAACCTGAAGTACGTTCTCTAAACTTGCAGTACGTTATGTAAACTTGTAGTATTTTTATAGAACTTTTTTGTTTTTATAATTTTTATCTTTAGTTTTATAATCTAAACTTTGCAAAAAGTTTTATAAAATTATCATTATTTATTATTAGAATATATCTATATTTATTGGAATTTAATATGTGATGGAAACTGAAATTTTCAATTTTAAGAAAGTTTTGTGTCGCTATTTGATTGTCGTTGAAAAGGAAAATAACGGTTAGAAATAATTTTGAAAGTCAAATTAACATTAAGAATGAAAAACAGCATTTTCTAAATTTACTCAGACCCATTTCTGTTAATTAGTTTATAAATTGATTTTAAAACTACTGGGATTTGATTTTATGAACTTGAGGCTCGCTGAACTGCCTAACGCCGTTTCAAATGACTTGAGTATTTGTAACAAACTCTGATTTCATAATACTTATATCTTTGCAACCCAATGTCGGAGACCTTTGATCTTTCAAACTATAAATTATTTTTTTTCCAAATTTTACACCATCTGCGATGCAGTTCAAATTCAATAAATTCGGTCCTTGGTAACATTTTTAGACTTATTAAAAGTTAAACATAAGATTGTTTAAATCCCGTTTTATTCCATAGTTTAATGGCTCTCGTTGAAATGTTTTTTTTTATTGCAGAATAAATTAAAAATCAATTAAAAAGAACAACTAGCATTTTACCTTGAAATGTATAGAATAGCTAATTAATGGAATGTTTAAAATTTCATGTTGCAGCAACAAAACATGTTTTTATAACACCGTCTATAGAATATAGTTTCAAGCTGCACTAAGCAGTTATTCATAATTATAAAGCACCCCTCCCTCAGAAAACATTGAGGGAGACCTTCTTAAAGGGATTATAAAACTAATTTCAAGTAAAACAACAGTAACCAGTAGCCCTTTATCAGATCAACAAAACCAACTTCCACCTTTACTCAGATATTAATGTGTATTTATTTTACATTGCATATTATTTAACATTTACTGTATTTTTACAAATAAGATAAAACATACCAAGTGAGTAAAAAAAAGTGTGATTAGCGGCATCTGGCGCAAAATTGTGCTTTTTTGTGCAACTCTCCTGTATGGTGTTTTTTTTTAATATTTTTAAATCTTTTTTTGGTACTCTAATGGCCCAAAAAAAATCCTCCAAACTTATTTTTCTCTTAAGAAGTTCAAAAAATTTTAAGAAAAAGTTGTTTCAATGGCTCTTCAGTTTTCAACTGAACAGCGTAAATTTATAACATTAGAATACACTTAGAAGAATAAAACTATAGGATTTAAAGACTTTTTCCTTAAAAATTAGACCAGAACTAAAAATTGTGAATTTTCGTATTACAATTTTGCAAGTTTTGATGTTGAGAGAAAAAATCTAATATGTTAAAGATGTTATAAAGATTGAATCACAGAATCATTGAAAATTCGCAAAATTGTAATAAGAAAATTTGCAATTTTCAGTTTAGCCTAATTTTTAAGGAAAAGTTGTTTTTCAATGGTCCTTCATGTTTCAACTGAACAAGAAAATTAAGAAGAAAGGAACTAGATAATTTAAATAACTTGTCCTTAATTAGACCAAAACTGAAAATTTTCTTTTTACAATTTTGCGAATTTTCTGTGATTCTGTGATTCAATCTTTATAAAATTTTAGATTTCGATTGAAATAATTTGTAAACACATTTTTGCCTTTCTGAACTTCTGATTTTGAGAGAAAAAAGGTTCGTGGATTTTTTTGGGCCATTGGTGCCGTAAATCACACTTTTTTTGACTCACCCTGTATATATATATTGGTATTATGGTATTAAGTTTCTTGTAAAAATGGAGGTTCTTCATTGTTTAGTAATTTAGTTGAGTAAACAAAATATGTATTAAGTTTTATTAGTTTTTAACCCCAAACAAGCCCGACAAGCATTTAACATAGTGTTTCCATTGAAAGTAAATTTTCCCAATTTTGCGCAATTATTACTAAGGCTGGGAAAATGGTTCAAATTAACTTGCGTATGTGCTTGAGAAAAATAGAATGAACCCCCATTGTCCATCATAAAATTAAAGTTGGACTACCATCTAAAAGGGAGTGACCGGCTAGACATGGTAGTTTAGCTCAGAGTGCAATATTAAAGAAAACTTTTGATTTTTTTATGCTACTCCCAGTTCAACTACCGTCTAGTTATAGGTCACTCCCTTTAAGCTTTGAGAAATGTATTAAGTGTTGCAGAAAAATGCTTTGGAAGTTTTTGATATTCTTAGAATGACAACTATACAAACATAAGCATTTTAATCTGAATCTGCATCAATTTGCTACATGTTTTAATACTATCAAATTATATTTTAAACATACTAATTAATTAAATGTACTGATTAACATAAGAAAGGCAGGAAACCTGAAATATACTTCCTTTTTAGTTACATTCATTTCCAAATCCAACATGGCTAGAGAGCAACTAAAAAAACTCATATTGTCATAGATTAATTATATAATTAATTTTATTTTTCTTAGTTTGGAAGATTTTTAAATGTTGATTTATGTATTAGGGAGCATGGAACAAGGGGCAAAGATGGAGTGATGAGAAACAGTTTGGAACCAGGTAAATATATATTTAAACCAATTAAAGAGCTAGGTAGATATATATTTAAACCAATTAAGGAGATAGGTAGATATATATTTAAACCAATTAAGGAGATAGGTAGATATATATTTAAACCAATTAAGGAGATAGGTAGATATATATATATATATACAAACCAATTAAAGATCTAGGTTTATATATACAAACCAATTAAAGATCTAGGTGTATATATACAAACCATTTAAGGAGATAGGTATATATATAAAAACCAATTAAAGAGCTAGGTATATATATATCAAACTAGTTAGGAGCTAGGTAGATATATACAAACCAATTAAGGAGCTAGGTATATATATACAAACCAGTTTGGAGTTAGGTAGATTTACAATTCAGTTTGGAGCTAGGAAGATTTACAATTCAGTTTGGAGCTAGGTAGATATTACAAACAATTCAGTTTGGAGCTAGGTATAAACACAAACCTGTTTTGAACTAGAAAAATAGAATTCTTTGCTAAAATTCAATTTTGAGTAAATTTTCATCAATCTTCATTTCTCTTTCAACACTCTAAAACTATTTTTTTAGAAACATTATTTTTATTCTCTAAAACTTCATAATTTTTTAGCAATTCGTGACATTTAACTAAATATATTTCTATTTGAAAAAAAGGGACTTTTGAACTTAATTTTAATTGACTCTCTATCATTAGAGTGATATAACCGATTCACAACGGTACCCTTAAACCAGTATCTGATAAAAAATTTGGATAGTGTCTTTCATTAGGTTGAAAAGTGCTTAATTCGACAATGTCCTCATTATTATCTTTAACAGAAATGCGCTAGTAAATTTTTAAATAAACCACAATAAAAAATAAAACACTTAATAAAGGGACAATTCCCGCATTCTTGATCAGACAAAGCTTGTATAGGGTAGCGTTGTGAATTGAATATAACACTATTTAAATGGAAATAAATTTAAACTGCATGCCATGGTTCCTTAAAGTTAAAAAATCTGACTTGTGCTTAATCCTATTCCGGCTGAAGTTTTAAGGAGATAACTCAAAAAGTATTGGTCTGAATCTATTCAAATTTTTCGACTTTTCTAACACATGCCCCTTACTTCAGGCTCAACGCAGGGCTTTTATAACTTCTGCCTGAGTCCTCAGGCATACTGCCTGAATGCCTTATTTTTTCCTTTAACCCGAATAAATCTATCTTTAGACTAACTGCCGGTCATTGGATTTCAACATTTTATTGTTCTTTTGAAAGCTTGAACAAAAGGGAGCAGATTGCACAATTTTTGCGGAGAAATTTTGCAAGGATGCCTTTAAAAGAGAATTTGCATATTTCTATTTTTACTTGAATACAAATTTAGTTTTTGAAAATTGCAAATATTTTTGCATATTTGAGTGTCCAGGGCTGTCCAAAACTGTTTAATTTATTATCTATAGCGCACTTTTTGCTTAATAACTTGATATTGCAATGAATGATTGAATTTTTTTATTTTTTTTTATTTTTTGTAGATTATCATTTTTGGAAAGCCCAAGAACTTTCCAAAAATGTAGCTAATGTTATAAATTTGTAAGACAATACGTCCCCCCCCCCCCCCNTGACATCTACCATTAGCAAAGGGTGTGAACCCATTCTTGTTGACTGTAGTAGTCTTTGACATCTAAATTAGCAAAAAGTGTGAACCCATTCTTGTTGACAGTATAATGGTTATATAAGGTTGCGGCCCTAGTCCTGAATATAGTCTTCAACCATTTTGCATGCTTTCTCTCAGAGAAAGGAGGTGTTGACACCTCAACTGCTTTCTATTAACTATCCGCCCTTTTAAACTCTTAGAAGGGTTAGTACTGACGAAGAGATCATAGGGATGGTTATACCTAAATGTTACCGCCGAGATTGGCTGAAGTGTTATCTCTCACCTCTACTCATTCTATTCATGATCATTAGTATTTTATGTTTTACCGCAAATATAGTTTTGTGTTTTGTAATTCGTGTTTCTATTCAGTTCGGATGGGCTAGTGTCTTTATAATACATTAGATATAATTATAATTACAAGTCGAAAGTGAAACGCATCTTTACCGAAGCTTAAAAAAAATTTTCAAATTGCAAATATTTCAAAGAATATATATTTTTACTGTCAATGATATTTCTAAGAAACTGAGTATACAAATTGTTTATTTATAGTACAGGGTGTCCCAATAAACATGGAAATAAAATGAAAGTTTCATTTTTCAAGTCGTCTTTGTTCCAAGCAGGATTATTTCATGAAAATTAACGGAGAATGGAGATGTCAGGAAATTTCTCCAGATTCCAGTTTTTAAAAAAAATCAACAAAACTGTTAAAATTTTTAATATCTCCGTCAATTTTCCAGATACAAATATGGTAGAATACATTATCAATTATGCAATTCGAAAAAAAAAATTCAAATGGGGGAAAATAAAACGTCTATACAGGGTTGTCCATAGATGAAACTTGAATACCTTGAGAACACTCTTGATAGACGGGACACTATAGGCTGGGCACAGTCACGGCAATCCAATTTGTCCAAGATATAGATTAACATAACGGAGGCCGATCAAGTGATCATTCGTTTTTAACAAATAACAATCGTTTATTTGTCAAACCAAATTTTAAAAAGATTCCGTGTGTAAATGTAGCTTTGCCTGATCTGACTGCCCTCCAAAGAAGGTTGTGGGTTTAAAGTTCCAAAAATACATATTTTATTTGCTGGGGATCAGGCCTGAATACAAACGAAAATATTCGTTAACTTATTGTGGATAAAAGTTTTTTCTATTAAATTTGGACTTGCAGCCAAGGCCCTGACTTCAATTGGTTACTGGAACCTTGCCCCACACCCTGAACTAACCACAGAGAGAAGCATACTGTTTTTTTTTTATTTGAAATCAAACGTGTTTTCGTCAATATTTCAACAATCTTTAAACTTACAGATTTGTTTATTTTATACTTTTTCCTTCAAAATATGCCAACAAAAAATTATTTAAGAAAAAAGGCTATAAAGTTATGTATAAGAGGTCAAATTGTGATCGGAAGTCACAGCTTTCTAAAATATTGACAGAACCGTTAAATCCACGTGCCCAGCCTTAGGCAGAAACCACAGCTAAACTTGAACGCACAACCATACTTAGAAATTAAATTAATTCTGCTTTAACATAAACAAAACTCTCAACAACTTTGATAAAGAGATGGAGAGAGGGGGGGGGGAGCTGTGTTTTATTATGGTAATCAAGATTTAATTCAGAATTAAACAAACTTATTTAAAACTCTTTTATTAAGTTTTTTAAAAAAGGAGGTTTTAAATCTGAGGACAAATACGCTTTGTTTAGATTGTTTATTTAGACTTTAAGATTTTTCAAGAAAAAAATCGTTCAAAAATAATTGTTTGGTTTTCTGGACGTTTCTGGAACTAGCAAATTTTCTTAATTAAATTTTGCGCATTATTATTAGATTTTACGAACAAATTTCAAAAATAAGCAACATATTTAATTTTAGGGCACACCTTCATCTCAGCACATCTCCAGCAGAACTTAGAATAGAAGATATTCAGGAAGATTCAAAATATTTTTTTCGAATTTTTTTTATTTAACATTAAATAACTGTCTTCATTTCAAGTGACCCATTATATCCAAATAGGGTCGTTCCCGATTAGACCGGTACTTTTTACACCTCTGGTCAAAATTGTGGAAGATTTCATCGTTTTTGCTGTTGAATTCTGGCAAATTCCTTCATTGTTACTGCACCATTTATCCGAAAATAATTAAAGAGATTTCAAATCCGCTTTTTATGCATTTACAATAAAGTTTGTAATTCCCTTTTATGTTTTCAAAACAAGCTAAATTTAATGTTTATCTTTCAGGAATAAGATTTTCTGCACTTTAAATGTTTTCTTTCAATATTGTTGAAATTTCATTCAATTCCTAAGAAAAATGTTAACATTGCTGGGTTAAGCATTATAGGATTAGACTTCAGAGATGACTGAATACCAAGTATATTCATTCTTTTTTCTTATATTATTAATTTCCTGGAACTGCAAAAACTTTCTTCTTTCTTGGATATTTCATTAAGGACGGTTATTCATTAGAACAAATTTAAGCGTGAGCTCGTCATATTTTACAGAGTTTTAGGTCGTCATTAAAGGGTATATCTTCGTGGTAACCGTGTAAAATTACTCTTAATAAAAAAAAACATTCAAACTACAACTAAGTTATAACTGAATTCGTACTTTGACGATCCTTCTTATTAATACAACGCTGTACAGTATTCAAGCATACTGGAGTCAATTTGACAGATAAAACATATAAAAAATATAATTTTACTGACTAAATTATTACATATTTTTCAAAAAAACATATCGATGAAAGCCATGGTAAAACCGTAGTGTCGATTATTTCACTATCACCATTTCCTTTGCTGTTTCTATAATTTTATTCGCAGATTTCATCAAAAAGTCGTCTTCACAATAAAAATAAAGAAAACCTCCAACAAGCGACCCTATAGCTGAAAGAATTTGCATGAACTTGCGAGATTTAAAATAAATTTCAATAACTTATTTCCAATAATATAAGTTCATTATTTTGTTCAACCTTTTTGTATAATAGTTTGTAGAATAGTGTTTGTTGGATACATGTTTTGTCCATGTTATTTAAGAATTGTAAAAAGGTTCTTCAGCTGACCACTGTTGAAATATTCCAAACGAATTTCCGCTCTTTTTAAACATTTCACACTAAAATTTTTCTCTGCAATAATGCACTTTCATCTCAACTACCATGTCTAGCCAGCCGCTCCCTTTAAATAATATTTGGTTTGTTGTGCGGCAGACAGCTGATGCTGGAATCTACAGATGTCGCGTAGATTTTAAATCTGCTCCAACCAGAAACTCTCTCGTAAACCTTACAGTCATAGGTTGGTACATTTTCAATAATATATACATTATTATTAACAACTAAGAGACAAATTAACGATCGTTTTATATTTTTTTTTCAGCCAGCTCTATTATGAAATTGTGTATGGTGATGGGCCACGTTTGACTTTTTTTTATTTCCAGTTCATCGTTCGTATCTTTTCAAACAAATAAATTGATTTCGTTCGTTTTTTCATTAAATCATCGTTCAGTAAAATCGTTCGTTCAGTAAAAAAAACGATCCCCTTTTTTGAAAATTCGTTTGTTCAGTAAAAAAAAGATAATTTTTCAAGTATGATTGAAAAAATTTAAAAAGTTCGTTTTTTGTGTTATTTTATTACTCTGAACGATCCACTTCGTTTGTCCACTGTTCGTTTTTTCTGAATGACACCCTTTAAAGTTTCGTTAGTTCTAATAAATTTCGTTTTTAAAAGAAACGATGTCCATCTCTAATTGTGTTTAGTATGAAAAAGTGCTAGATTCAAAACCATTTTAGAAGTTGTGTTGTGCGCAACCTTTGTATAATCTTGAAATGCAATACAAAGTTCTTGAATGTTTAAACAATTTAGATATTCTGTAATAATTTGAAATTCTGTTAAATTCCCGTAACTTTAAGGGCACAAGTAAGGCCGAGCACATTTTGAAAATGCCGAACCAAAGATTCGAAGAGTGTAAAAAATATCTTGAAAATATTGTAGATATAATTAAATTTAATTTGTTCCGTTGATAGTTACTTGTCAGCATTAAATCAAATTAATGAACAAAAAGAAAAGAGATTAATTGTTAGAAACAGAGTTAATTGTAGTTCGCCATTTTATTTTTGCAAAACTATTTCTTACAAATACTTATTTCAAAGTTTATTCTTGTATAAACGAGACTGCGGAGATTTTGTTTCCGGCTTTTTAGACGTAGAAATTGTTTTTTTTTATTTTTTTTTATTTGTGTTTAACTGAAATACTTTTAATACATCCAGAATAAAGAAATGGGGGAATGTCCTCTTGGTTTTTACTTTTTACTTAGGAAATGTTTACGTTATTTTCAAAATTGTTGCAGTACAACTAATATAAATTTCTAAATCCTATTTGGTCACTTTTTAAAACCATGTAAGTTGAAAATGATAGCATTTAGTGAAATTTATATATGTATAAAACGAATTAGAAAACGATATTAATTCCATTGTTTTCTGGTTCCAATTGTTTTATGTACAGTGCCTCCCCGTGTACCGCATGTATTTGACGGTACGGGTCGGGAACTGGTGGATACGGCTGGACCCTACCTACTAGGAACTGTTACGTCCCTGAAATGTGTGGTGGACGGAGGTAAGACTTTTTTCTTTTAAAGGGAGTGTTCAGGAAAATCGAAATGAAAATAATTCCATAGATAGGAAGATAACGGTGTAAGACTAAATAGAATAGATCAATATATTTTAAACACAGCAATTGTGCAGTGTAACTGTGTAACTGTACACACTGCACAGCACAGACACATTTCATTTAATTAGTTGATAATAACTATCAATAAAAATAAAGTTATTAGCTTTATACTAACAAAAAAATGTAAAAATATCGTCTTTATATTCCACAGCTTTATGGTTCTCACTGTATTTACTGCGTATAGATCTGATCCAAACAAATAATAAAGATCCTCGAAGTAAGACCAGGAAGAGTAGAAGGTGAGAGTGAGTAAACACTATCAAGAGCTATATTGATTAAAGGTATAGTGGGCCAACTTCATAAAAAAGAAAAGATATAGTTTTCCTGAACAACGTAGCCCGGGGTCATCTGAAACAAATAAAAAAATGTCTAGTTTTCTACAGAAACAACTGGAGGGGGGAGTAGGTGGTCATTTTAAAATATAAATGAGAAAAGATCTAGTTTTTTTACAGATTAGCTCTAAACAACAGGGGGCGAGGGGGGAAGCAACTAAAAACAATGAAAAGAAAAGGTCTATTTTCTAAAAATTAATCTTAAACAACTTGAGGGAGTCGGATAAGATTAGCTGTAAACAACCTAGGTAGGGGGGCGGGGGGAGGTTAACTTGTAAGAAGACTTAGTTTTTTAAGATATTTACTATAAACAGCTTTTTTAAACCTCTCTCTCTATGCACCCTTGATTAATATCAAAGTTAGAATAGGTATTTTTTAAAATGAGCTTACCTTAAAACGTTCCAACTTTTTCTAGTCATTTCATTAACGGTAAGTTCTAACAATAAAAAAGAAAATTGCAGGTAGCCGTTAGTTTTAAAGGTAAGAACGGAATGTTAACGGTACTTTCCGTTTTTTAAAGTTACCGTTAGTTAACGATCTTAATTCTATTAACGGCGTTGACGGAAGATATTTTGCTGTTAACAATTGTTTTTTTTTTGCAATAAACGACATTAGCCGAAGCGCAAACAAATTTTTCGTTAACGGTTAAAGGTTGTTTGCAGCATAAACGGTGTTAACGGTTTGCCAAAACAAAATGTCCATAAAAAAGTTTATAAAATTGGATTTACGGCAAAAGCCGTCATCAAATTGCAAAAAAAAATCTTTAAGGTTCCATCATATAAATAGGGTTGGGATTGAGAAAGACTGAAGACGACATTTCAAAACATCGAAAATGTAAAAAATTGACCAGTCATACTTGCACCATTGTACCTATTCTCTAGGGCCTTTTTTCCATGGATTTTGGACAAGGGTGGTGGCGCCACCCACCCCCACCCTTGTTGTGCCTCTGAGAAATTCCCAGAAGAAAAATTGTAATATCTGTTTCTTTAGTCGAGTTACGAAGTGAAATTACCTAAGTGTCTTTTTGAAAGATAGTCCACCATTAAAACAAATAAAACCTTGCAGGAAAAGAAATGTACTTTAACAATTTTTCAAATTACAATATAAATAACCTGCGTAGAATTAACCTGGGGAATTATCAGTGAAGTTCTTAACTCTTAACAAATTAAAGCATAACATTATACAAAATAAGAAATTATATTTTATTTTAAAATGTTCAAACTTTTAAGCCATCACTTTACGATATAATTCACTCTAACCCTTCAAACTCAAGATCAAAAATGATTTTGGAAAGATGTTTTTATGCAGAATTCAGTGAGTTTTCAATTACAAATCTCAAACCAAGAACAGTACTGTTAGCCTAAATGTATACTAACCCCCTGGAGAAAAGTTACGAATAAGTTGTAACTCGGTAGACAAGTTGAATTATTACACCAGTTTTCTTGAACGAGGAGAAGAGACAGGAGAAACCTTTATTTGAGGGGAATTGCAATTCATGTAATGGTGTAAGCTGAGTCCTAAGAAAATGTACAGGAAAAAAGAAAGATTTCAAAGAAATGAAAAAGAAGGAAGATTTTAAAGAAATAAAAAGAGGCTTGGGGGGTTTAACCCTATTCTGATTGGGCTATTTTGGTTCCATCCCCCCCCCCTTATAAAAATGTTTTAAAAAATGTATTTTTGTTTTTTGACAAATACCTACATGTGGCACATAATACTGCAACCTTTTTTCAAGGCCTTTTCAAATAAGTACATTTTAGAGCATGCTATATCTCAAACAGTTTTGGTTCAATCTGATTACAAATTTGGTGGGACATCCCCCCCCCCCATTCTTGATAGGGTTGAACCAAGATTTCATTGATGCTGATTTCATTTCATTGATACAGCAACTTATTATTTAGTGTATTTTAACAAACTAGGCTTGAAGCGCCCATCTTCTTTTTCAACTTTAATTGTGGCTTTATCTGTGAGCATCTTCTCTTTGTACAGTAACATTTTTTTTTCAATTTGCGGATGAACTGATGGCTGACCTTTTATCGTGTGAATCTCAGGATTAAGCATATGGATTACCATTTACAGACCTTCGGATTAATTTAATTCCAATCCGACATCCGGTAGCGGTCATACCCTGTAGGAAAAATCTTGATTAAGGGATCAAGCATTTATCCTCAAATTTAAAAGTGCCCACATTGGATATCCAGATCAAGCAATATAAATAAACGATACTCCACAAAACATTTATGACCTCTTGAGTCAATTTAATATTTCTTACATTTTTGCAACCTGATTGTGTAAACCTGTGACATTTCTAGCTTTAACAATTTCATCAAGTTTAACTCGTAGTTTAAAATTGTGATTAATTCCTGTAAACTTCAGTTTAAGCCTATATCTTAGCAACTAAATTTTGTTTGTTTTTGATATTTCAAACTATAATATTAGATCAGATAATCTAAGTTTGAAATATTAAAGGTGTACACGGTTACAAGATCAGATTGCAAAGATATAGGGATTAGAAAATTGAAGTTTGTTGAAAGTTTTACAGGGATTACAAATCTGAGTTTGTGAAAAAGACTCAAGGACGATATTTGATCAACTCTTTTTTAGTCCAGAACATGGCACTTATATTAATTTATTTACGCATCATTTTCCTTAGATTTAACCGGAGGCAGCCTAAAAGTATAAAAAAATTGAAAAATTTTACATTTTGGCAAATTGTTATTTTAAATTTTTTTCCTAAAAAATCTTTTATTTTCGTTTTACTCTTGAGGTACTGTATAATGTAAAATAAGAAATCAAAAATTAAAAATTAGAAACCTTTAACAAAGCAGATTATTGGAGCATTCTCTTCAAAAACATAGTTTATATATATTTAATGTAAGTTGACTTAATAAAACTGTAACATTAAGATAAACAATGTTTTATCTTAAATTGCTCTCTTAGCTGGGCAAATAGTTTTCCTTCTCATAATAAAACTAAATAATTGAAGACTGTAAAAAGTCTGGAAAAAATCTCAAACAATTTTTTTTACCGAAATGGTTCATCTTAAAGTTCAAGAATTTTAGGGCGATTGGTGTCTCGTTTTCTATATATTTTAGGGTGATTGGTGTCTCGTTTTCTATATATTTTAGGGTGATTGGTGTCCTGTTTTCTATATATTTTAGGGTGATTGGTGTCCCGTTTTCTATATATTTTAGGGTGATTGGTGTCCCGTTTTCTATATATTTTAGGGTGATTGGTGTCTCGTTTTCTATATATTTTAGGGTGATTGGTGTCTCGTTTTCTATATATTTTAGGGTGATTGGTGTCTCGTTTTCTATATATTTTAGCTTTTAAATTTTGATGTCTTGCAATAATAACGCTAAAGATGATTTTGCAGATTTTTTGATTTTTTTGACGATTTTCCCTAGATTAACGTATTTACTTTTTCTTTAACTGACATCCTGAAATTGTGTCCCTCTATAAGCCATCCCTGTGGGGTTTTGTAAGTTTGTGATCCAAATTATCCAAAAGCCAGGGCTTTGCTACAAGTTCCAACTTTTTAATCATTGAATCTTTTAAACCTGATGTAGTAGACCTTTGATATTCAAAACTAAGCATTTTGCTGTTGCAAAGAGTCTATATTTTTTTTTTCATTAAAGGTTGACCTTGCCACTCTGAGGTTGTAATTAAAAAGAGATAAGGATTAAAAAAATAAAATTTGTTTTCAGTTCTTTTATCTTATTTAAGGTTCTCCTAAACCAGCTGTAACCTGGTGGAGGGAGGGTAGTTTAGTAGATTCTAGTTGGGAGGAGGGCAGCACTGGAGAGATTTACAATATTCTACAAATCGGACCATTAGATAGGTAAATACTACAGTTTCAACTACAAAAATTCCCTCTCCATCATTTTTCTAGATGAAAGATATGTTTGAAAACAATTTGGATAAATCACGATGCAAAATTTATTGAAAATGGAATAATAAAATCTCAATTTTTTTATTATTAAGGTGTAAACAATTAAGTTTTGTTCTTTAATCCTACGTTTTCATCTTAACACTGTTAATACCAGTCACTCCCTTTAACCTCCAGCTAACACTGTTAATACTGCAGTCACTCCCTAAATATGTCAAGAATGCATTTATGGAAAGTTTTTAAAGAGTCTGTTAATGTTATTTTCTGTGACTACTTTTATAAAGTGGCATGTACAATAAACAATGGTACCCCTTTAAAGATTTTTCTGATCCAGTGTGAGTAAGATATCTAATGTTTTTGCTTTGAAAACTGATTACTTTTATTCATTGTTTCTTTAAAAAATAATGACTTGCACATTTCTTGGTTAAGAAACAAAGAAGAATTCATCAGAATTTATCCAGAAAACAACTTTATTCTCCACATTATTGTTTAAATTAAGGTTTAAGATACCATTGGGAATTGAGCATGACCTTCTTCAAATTAAGGGGCACGTAAAATGTAGTCCCTAAATCTGTTTAAGGTTAAAGAAAACTACTTTAAACAATGTAGTTTTAAAACACTCTTAACAATAGTGAAAAAATAAAAAATAAAGCATTTTGGTCATGGGAAAACGTTTAAAGTCTGTTTTGAACAAAAAGTTATTTAAAAGTTTAAGGTAACTTGAAAGAATTTGATTTTCACGTTGACACGTTTAAATAATTGATTGAGTTCCAGGGAGTTAGAGGACCAATACAACATGATTAATCAGTCAAAGAAAGTTTAACAAAATTATAAACCTTTGTGCTAGAAATTCCTTTCAAATCAAAATGAGCATTTCATTTTCAGAATTAATATCATTCTAATTTGTTCAACCAAAAATAGGCATCGTCTTTTTGTCAAAACATTTATTTCTTTGATTTTGATTTCCAAAATTTGTTTTGATTCAATACTTTATCTATTATTTTTTTAAGATTCACATATCTTTGCAACATCTCTTTGCCATTAGGTTGCAAAGATATAGGGATTGGAAAACCAGAGTTTGTGACTAAGACTCAATCCCTTTGTTTTAAATGATATTAATGATCCTCCTGCTTTGCATTGCAATCATTATTGTTGTTTTATTACCAAGAAACCCTGTATAAACCAGACAAGTCTGTTTACATTGTAAACATAAACCACTGGTAAACACAGTCCGTATATTAGTTTATAATGATGAGAAATTGATAGTTGATTTACTTTTTTACAAAATTAATGGACCCACACAATAAAAACTGATCTTCATGAATATATATTGAATAGGGAGGATTTGGGAACAATATTAACCTGTCAGGGATCCAACAACAACCAATCTGTTCCATCTTCGAGACAAATTTCGTTGGATATGGTCTTTCCGCCAACAAAGCTTGCAATAACAACTGCCAGACAACCGCTTTCTGCCGGTCAACAATATACGGTAAGCTACAGCTAACAACCACAATTTAAACATACACAGTAAGCTAGCTATGGATAAAACAACATACCAGACAACAAAGTTAACAACTGTCACCGTTAAAGCAAATTGTCCAGACTTAGGTCTGAGCAGCACATAAAAATACCCGAATAATATCTAACTGCTGTTTAGAAATGCACTTTAATGTATATAAAACAGCAAAACATTCAGTTTTTAGCTAAGAATGTAAAGATACCTTATTTTGACTAATCGTGATATAACTACATTTAAGCGTCAAACATCCAAAATAGCTAAGATATATGCAGGCAAAATATACCAAAATCTCTTACGATCACCATACAATACAACCGTACATATGCTGGTCAAAAAACAAATAATTTATTTCGTTTCTTAACCTTTTAGTTTGGGACTGGGTGAGTACAATGCAATGCAATGTAGAATGTATATTGCCTAGCCTGAGGAAGGGTTAAATGCAAGCAGATGTAATATTAAAAGACCCCCTCCTATGGGTGCCCCCCGTCAGCCTCTTAGGGGGGGCACACGTATGGGGGGGGCGGGGGGCGCGTCCCCCCCCCTCGTACGCGCCTGACTAGACCGATAAATTTTTGTACTGGTTGGGATCATGCAACGATAAAAATCATGTGAATTCACCCCTGTATGCCGAGGTCCCTTAGCGCCTTATCCAATCAGGGTTCAGTCATGTGTTTGTTGTCTATTCTGAACCAATAGAAATAGTATGGCGGTAACATCTATCTTTCTATCTCTATCTGATTATCCAATCAGAGTTATGAATCCTTCAATGGGCGCTAACAGTAAATGGAAATATTTACTTCTACTGAAACTATAAATAATTATTTCAGCTTGATTGTGAGTCTCAAGGTTCAAGACCTCATGCAGTTATTACATGGTGGATGGGAGAGAGATTTTTAGGTAACATATTTCATATTCCGGTTAAACAAAAATGTAAGTGTCATTTTTACCCCACGAGTTATTTAGGGTAAGTCCTACGCATACTATAAAGCTGTCGAGCGCTGCGGCTCATGATAATTCTTTTGAAATAGAAAATATGTCCTATTACGCTTTAAATATAATGAAATACAGTGGTAGGTGATATCAATACAATGAAGACGACATTCGATTTGAATTTTTATTGATATTAAGCTGTTAAAAAGCATGGATACACATAAACATAAAAGTAAAGAGAAGCTGTCAGTTAAAAAGCCTCTCTTGGATTACTTGTAAACTTGTAATTCGAAAAAAGATAGTTAACAATCAAAATTAAATTCAAAAAGTCATATTCATTGTATTGATATAATCGCTTAACACTGTACAAAATCAGATATCTATACGATTGCATTAGAAACCATAGAACAGTCTTTTCTTACTGTTTCTAGTTTAGAAAATATTGCAAATTGATAAATCTAAAAAATACGTGTTCAGAATCTTATATTTGAATATATATTGAAATTCATACCACCAAAAAAAAAAAAAAAATTCCAAACAGAGAAAGAAAATGATAGAACGGAGTGCATTTATCTAGTTTTGTAGTCTATCCTACTATAGATTGAAAGCTTAAAGTATTTTTATCAATTCAATAAACTATTTTTAAAAGTGTGTAAACAATAAAGAGTAGAATACAGGGAATCATGTTTATAAGGAAACAGACAGTATAAATTGAACACTAAATATACAGTGATAACCAGAAAACTGATAGGAGGGTCGACTTTTAGACTCAATTTATGACTTTATACAGAAATTTAATAACTTACTGGTTAAGATTTTTTAATTTTTAACAAAATCAAATGCACTTCAGTATTGCTTTTAAGTCGTCTTCCCACAGTTTTCTGGTTATCACTGTATGACAGCGCAAACTCAAGAAAATATCTTTGTTTGCATACTAAGTGTACTGTATCAAATAGTTTTTAGGGAAGAATATTAATATTCCCAGCCTGATCACGGATATGTTACAAGGAATGGAATTTTGACGCAGACTGCCCTCCCAAGTAGCCCTGACGGTATCTACTGATTTGACAACTGTATATTGCTTTATATCTAGAGATAATCAATCAATCGAGATGAATATTTTAGGGTTATGACATATGTGATGTTATATTCTGCATTAAAAACTCTCCAAAGCGTACAATATTCATTTTTAAGGGGGAGGGGTCACAAAAGTAGAGATTTTTTCATCGAATTTTGAAAAAAAAACGCGTTAGATATAGCAAGATTTTAAGGGTATACATGTTGCAAATTGTAAATTCAACTCTAAAAATGAAGGTTTACTCGAACGTTTAAAGCCCCTCTAATAGGGACAAATGCTTGTAGGTAAAACAGAACAGTCGGATCGAGGAGAGGTCAGCAAATCTCAGCTTATTCTTAATCCTATGCCAGAACAAGACGGTCAACTCATAACATGCAGGTTATATATGTTGTATCAAACTATTCTAAATCCTATACCAGAACAGAATATTCTACTCATAACATGCAAGTTATGCATGTTATATCAAACTATTCTTAATCCTCTACCAGAACAAAAAAGTCAACTCATAACATGCAGATTATACATTTTATATCAAACTATTCTTAATCCTAAATCAGAACAGAATAGTCAACTCATAACATGCAGGTTATACATGTTATATCAAACTATTCTTAATGCTAAATCAGAACATAATAGTGAACACATAACATGCAGGTTATACATGTTATATCAAATTATTTTTAATCCTAAATCAGAACAGAATAGTCAATTCATCATATGCAAGTTATACATGTATAACAAACTATTCTTAATCCTCTACCAGAACAGGATAGTCAACTCATCACATGCATGTTATGCATTTTATATTAAACTTTTCTAATCCAATACCAGAACAGAATAGTCAACTCATAATATGCATGTTATAAATATTATAACAAACTATTCTTAATCCTATACCAGAACAAGACGGTCAACTCATAAAATGCAGGTTTTACATGTTATATCAAACTATTCTTAATCTTATACCAGAACAAGACGGTCAACTTATAACATGCAGGTTATACATGTTATATCAAACTATTCTTAATCCAATACCAGAACAGAATAGTCAACTCATAACATGCAAGGTATACATGTTATATCAAACTATTCTTAATTCAATACCAGAACAGAATAGTCAACTCATAACATGCAAGTTTTACGTTGGATTGTTTAAAATGTGAATATAAAATATTGGGAAAAGGGTTTAGAATATATCTGAAAAGGGTTTAGAATATATCTGAAAATTAACTAAATACTTTATACAGTTCAAAGTGACAAAAAGTCATAATTTTCCGAAATAAGAATTTTAAAATATTTTCTGGTATTGCCAATTTTAAAATATTTTCTGGTATTGCCAATTTTAAAATATTTTCTGGTATTGCCAATTTTAAAATATTTTCCGGTATTGCCAATTTTAAAATATTTTCTGGTATTGTCAATTTTAAAATATTTTCTGGTATTGCCAATTTTAAAATATTTTCTGGTATTGCCAATTTAAAAATATTTTCTGGTATTGCCAATTTTTTTGGTACCTTTGGTACCTAACTGCAAATGGGAAAGCTAAATGAAGCAAGCAAACCAAGCAAAGGGGAATTTCTATTAATTGGGGTTAAAAATGGTAAATTTTCGATGATTAAGAATGTACTAATCTAAAGGTTTGCATATGACTTTGCTATCTTTATTTCACTCTTCTTTAACGAGCTGACTCCCATTTTTATCTAAAACGAACTGTACTTGACGTATGGAATAAAATCCATAAAACGCATACAATATCAATTCTCTTTGTAACTTTAATCTGGATTAATCACGTTTTTTAAATTCTAATCATTTAATACTTTCTCTAGGCAGCCATGTCCTTCAGAAAACTTAGAAAGTTCTGAAAGCCAAACATTTTCCATTTTGGTGGTTGGAAAACCGTCCTTCAGCAAGAAGTTGAAAATCTCTTTTTCGGCATTTAAGAAGATTTTAGCTCCATCAACCTTGGACACTGTTTTGATTTGAGTTTGTTCATCTGTATATTTTTTGTGCCCATTATCTAAACTATGGCTTTAATCCAGATTTTTAAAATTTATGCTTCAATTTAATTGAAAAAATATACTTAAAGATTCATGCACATATGTTATTGATCATCAAATTCATCACCCAACCAATCTTTCTTTTTCAAGATAATGGTTTTCATTACCATTCAGGTCGTCAAAACAGAACGCTTTCCATACAATTTTATTTTTGTATTAAAAATGAAAAATAAAGGTTAAGAAGTTGTTTGTTTGATGTTTTTTTCTACAAGAAGCATGGTACCAGAAAATAGTCCTTTTATAATATCTCCATCAGTGTCTTAATTCCTATTTTGTTCTTAACATTTTTTAGGGATTTTGTCATCTTCTATCTAATTTTGTTGGTTAATTTTGAGTTTTAGTTACACCCTTTAAGTGACCTTTAGCTCCTACTGTTTTGATTTTACACTCAAGCACATAGCAATAGCATAGATGATCAAATCATTGTTTTTATTTCTCAAAAACTTTTCAATAAGAGGAGTTATGATCAAATACAGATAGGATTTCAATTGACTTGATTTTTGAAATGTCTGAACAGTCCCTTTAATCCTGTAAAATGTATATAGGGCTGAGAATACGAATATGAGGAGTGGTGAGGGAGTGCTGGAGGATACGTGGAACCTCGTAGTTTACTGTGAGTATATAAATCTACCTGTTTCCTGATGTCAAGTAAATTATATTATTCAAGTATACTACAGGGTGTCCCAATAAACATGGGAATTAAGTGACGACTTCATTTTCGTCTTTGTTTCACGTGCAATTATTACGTGAAAACATTTTTATTCCAGTTAAAACAGTAATAATCAAAGCTATAGTCTCGGAAATTCGGGTCTGCCATTTTCGAACCTTTAAAATTAAAAGAGTTATCAAGATATCTGTCCAGATTCTAATTTAATAAATCACAAAGAAATCATTCATACTTTTAAGATCTCCGTCAATTTTAAGGATACGAAGAAGGCAGACCACATCTTTAAAAGCTCAGAACACGCTGAGACTTTATTTTGATAACTCTTTGTCATTTATCAACTATCGGAAATCGAAGACGATTTTCAAATTGTCTCTTGAAGGGAGTGTTCGCGAAAAATATTCTATGGTGGTTGCTCTAAATCTTACTTCTATCTTTTGTGTCGATAAGAAGAAAATTGTTAAAAACGACTCATAACGAAGAATGTAGCGTCCATACAAATTCAGAAAGTTTTAATATTCGACTCAAATTCTTAAATAAATCAATTTAATTCTAAACTAATCATTCAGATATTACAACCTGTAATCATCGATTTTTTTCGACACATTCGTATATAATCGATGTAATTTACGCAAATCCGTTGCTAATAAATAGGCCATAAGGCAGAAACTCCATTAATAGCGTTATGCATATTTTATTACTATACTGTATGGGGTTCGGCCGAAATTTAAAAGAGTATCGTTGATCGAAACTCCCGAGTTTCCTTTTTTGGGGTCTTAACATTTGTGTAGATTTTGACTTAACAAATTCGAATAAAATGGAGAATGTAAACAAACTGAAAAAAATAATATTTCCTTACAAATATATTGATATTCACAAAACTGCCTAACCCCATTCGTGAATCCCGGTTTTTTAAAACTGGTTTTCATAACATTACCCTGTCTTAAGTTTTGGGCTCTGATGTCAACTATTAGCAAACAGTTGTAAATGTATAATCTAGATATCTGGGTGACAGTAGAAAAAATTTCACCCCCCACCCCCTCCTTTCCCCCTTGAGTGAAACTATGGTTTTTATATGTATTCCTAGACTTTCAGATCCGTGTTTTCAGTTGAAATATTAAAATTTCAAAATTCTGTTTAAGTTGAATGCAAAATCTTTGTATGTACAAATATGAATGTTTTCAAATCTGAAATCTCATTGATGTTGAATTTATACTTTAAAATAAACTGGGCTTTTAGGGTGCTTCGCGCCCATAATCTTTTTAGGGTGCTTCGCGCCCATCATCTTTTTAAACTTTTAAGTGTGGCTCATTCTGTGGCATCTTCTCTTTATGTAATATAAAATAAAAACAACAAAAAATTTATTAATTTATTAATATTTCTGCGCACATTTTCAAAATTTACCAACATTTTGAACATCCATAAATCTTCCATTGGTGATTTGAGGTCTCACAAAAAATTTGGGCCCGATCGATTCCGCTGTTTTGACGTTTATCGTTTTCTAACAAGCAAACAGACAGAACGACAAGGAAAGAATAAATATGATACAACAGCCTTTATTCATGTGTGACGGCAGGTTCACGACAGTAACTTTAACATCTTTATTTGATCAATAATGTTGAAAAAATTGCCGTCTTTAAAGGTTTTAAATTGTTTAACAACGAAAAACTTTATTTTTTTTAATTTTTCCCAATTTGAGATCATAAAATTTATTCTGGTTAAAACTTGATCAAACGATGCATATTCTTTAGATCCACCGATAGTGAGGCTAAAATTGGGCCATAAGTTAGATTCACATATTCTAGAGGTAAGCTAATTTTATTTCATTATTTCCTTCAAGATGTTCTAACCCCATCATTATACCTTCATGTGTAAAATTCTCACAACTTCCTTCATCGTCTCTTTTGTCACTTTTAAAGAGAAGCCACATTTGAAAATAACCAATTTTCAGAAAGTAAAATAAGGACTTGACATAGAAGCGGGCATTCCAATCTATAAATTGAAATTACGTATGCACTATACAGTCCATGTATTTCCTAATTATCTTAAAATAAAGAATATATTATGCAAGTTTCTAAGATTTAGACAGAATTCAATAGCGTTAAATTTAAGCGAAAACATAAATATTTAACATTTTTTTCTTTTCAATAAGTTAAGATGAAAGTATTTTCATGCTGAGTTATAATAATTGAAATATATCATGTCTGCACTAAAATCATGAAACTTCGATTATATATAATTATATAATCTGTTAAAACCTTAAATTTTGTAACCTTTAAAAAGTACAAAACCGCCCATCTCATTTATATTATCAACTGTTGTGTTTAGGAGGGAAGTGATATATATTTTGAGTGTGAAATCAAGTCGAATCCGCAGTACTATAAAATCCTCTGGTACCATAATGTAAGTAAAACACTCACACTTGCAGCAGTCGTTTGAAATATGAACACTGTAAATTACAATTATTTAACAGCTGACAGATGCTGATAATAAAATCATGGTTTTAATTTACAGTATAAAATCTAAATGTTTATTTAAAAGTTTTGAACTATAGAATCCTGTTAATTTTTAAACAGTTTTGCAAAGTAAAAACCACGCTATAATGTTGAAATTAAGAATGAGCAAGCTCAATGTTTTTGTAGTAACTCAAGTAAGTTGAATTGACGGAAAGATACTGTGGTTGTTATTTCAAGTAAACTTCCATCTTAAGGAGGAACAGGATTCATAAGATTCAATAATGTTGAAGAAATCCTCATTCTTTTACTCTAAAAAGTTTTTAATCATTTCTATTTCCTCCAAATTCTTTCTAAAGCATAAATGTGCAAACTACATGTGAAAATCTAATGAAAGGTTTTTGGTCTTGAAATAAAAAAAACGAAATTTTCCTCTCAATAGTTACTTTTAACAGTTGTTCCTTGTCGTTTTTATTTATTTTCCTCAACAGTCATTTCGCTAAAAACTTCTGTTTATCGACGTAACATTGCCAGCAGTCGACGGAACGTTAACAAGGCCTAGTTGACGGAACATTTCCCAGTCCTAGTTGACGGAACATTTCCCAGTCCTAGTTGACGGAACGTTGCTTAGTAATAGAACTTTTCCCAGTCCTAGTTAACTGAATGTTTTTCAGTCCTAGTTGAAAGAACGCTATCCAGTCATAGAGACAGAACGTTGCCAAGTCCTAGTTGATGGAAGGTCGCCCAGTCCTTATTGACAGAACGTTACCCAGTCCTAGTTAACAGAATGTTTCCCAGCCCTATTTGAAATAACGCTGTCCAGTCCTAGTTGACGGAATGTCGCCCAGTCCTTATAGTTGACCAAACGTTGCCCAGTCCTAGTTGACAGAACGTTACCCAGTCCTAGTTGACGGAACGTTGCCCAGTCCTAGTTGACGGAACGTTGCCCAGTCCTAGTTGATCGAACGTTGCCCAGTTTGACGGAACATTGCTCAGTTAGTCCTAGTTGACGTAACGTTGTTCAGTCCTATTTTGACGGAACGTTTCCCAGATAAAGTTGACGGAACGTTGCCCAGACCTAGTTGACAAAACGTTACCAAGTCTTAGTTGACAGAACCTTGCTCAGTCCTTGACAAAAGGAAAATACAATGATGACATGAGGCTTTTGTTCCTTGTAATCTGAGTAAAGCCTGGTATATGGTTTGGTCCCACATGGAGCATTGTCAGCCCTCTAGACACAATTACTTAATTAAATTAGTCCCTTATAACATTAGGTAAGGGACTAGAAGAGGAGGTGTGGTGGGGCCGGGGGGTGTAAATTTAGCCTCTTGAAAAAATGTCACAAGATGCAACACATGCTTGCCGTGTTATATTTACAAAATTGGGGGCGTGACTTTTGGTGATTTAAAATACACATCTTTTAATGTTTAGACAAAAAAATAAGTTCCAAAAAAGCTCCCTTAATCAGCCAGTTCATAAATTAAACAAAAATTTAGCCGTTGATTTAACCGTATTCAATGTTTATTTGTGTAGAGGGGACTGTTAATATTTTGTTGTAATAAGAATATATTCCATTAATACTAAATATCAATTAAATCAAACTTCATGAAAACTAGAGTAAACTTTGAGTGACAGGTTTACCCTA